AGACTGTCTGAATCATTTCTGCAATCAAACATCAACTTTTCTCTTGTCTTGTCCTCCAAGATTTCACGAAGGCCTTTATCAAACACTGCTTTCTTGAGTTTTACAACATCGAATATGAAGGCTTTGTTTTCAGTGGCAACGGCGACAATCGTAAGCTCTCCTATTCTTGTCAAATCGACCCCTTCGCAATCCACTGCTAGAAGCGCTTTCGGTTCCAAGCTCTTTAGCTCTCGCAGAGATTGATCAAGTTTAACCTCACTGTCAACGAGTACGTAGTTTAGTGAAGATCCAGCCATAGTTTCAGTCAGCAAAACAAAATTGCAATGGACAAGATTAAAGAAAATGCTTTGTGCAACGATGAAGTAGGAAATGGTTTCCTAAGTCAACGAGTTTCGCAATACCACGCCTCCTCAAAATCAGCCAATGCCAATACCCTAGTCGTTACAGGACAAGACATGCATTCATCTTATCTCATACTCTCTATTCTTACACCCGATTTCAAAGGAGTGCGAACTCTCGAATTTTTTTTTGAACGCTAAACTTTCACTCGACCGTCATTCACTCGACCGCTTGGTAACCAGGCACACGTGTTTAGTAAGTGATGCGTGACTTTCTGTAGCGGGACTTTCGCATTTAGAATTATGGAGGAAGAAGCGGTGGTCTTTGTTCGAGATATCCTGTGGTCCTTGTGTTTCCCAGAACATTCTACTTCACTCAATGCAATTGAGAACAATTAGAAGAATATCAACTAAACTTGATTAAAAAATATAATTTTCTATCTGATTTGTAGTTTAAATTTGGCTTCATTAACTTGTAAACATCAAATGCATGCAAATAATACTTTGCACAATTAGGTATAGCTTTGCAAGAACCATGAACTTGAGGGTGTTGTTTTCTGCATCTTGAAAAGATATTCTTATGTTGAACTAAAATATAATTTTTTTCTTTTCTTTCGTTATGTAAACAATTTAAGTTTACAATAAAAAAAATTATCAAGCAAGCAAAAAAATAATTGCAACATTGTTGTTTAAATTCAGTAAAGGTTGAAAACGAAGTAGCTTATGTTTAAATGTAACCTTCTTTCGAAGAAGTAAATATATTCTTATTCATATTACTGTAAAAACCCTGATTGATTGAATACAAGTTTACAATGACACTTACATGTGTATGTAACAGCAACATTTCCTGTACGTTTATAAAGTTGTCGAATTTTACAAACAAAAGTTTTCCCTACAAATAACGCTCTACAAGTTTCCTTAATGCTTGAACMGTAAATAAGTTCATGTTAAATAACCTTCCACCGAATATCGTCCGATAACCTCTTCATTTTAATCAGTAAACTAGTAAAATCAACAAAGAACAGCCTACGAACACTAAAAGCGATTTAAAGTGCGCGCTTGTCAGTCTACAACACGCTATTTATTTTTCAACTGTTTCGTTGTAATTGCGAGCTGAGAAAGTTAAGTAAACCGAAACTAGTTTTTACAATAAGTTCGTTTTGTAGTGCGATCACAAACTGTAGGAATTTAGCCCACAGACATACATTAACCATGGTTTTTATACTTGGATAATTTTACCCGCTTCAAGCTGTGCCAGGTTACCAAGTGGTCGAGTGAATGACGTTCGAGTGAAAGTTTAGCGTCCGAAAAAAAATTCGAGAGTTCGCACTCATTTGAAATCGGGTGTAATCGTTCCAGAAAAAGTTCGAAGGAAAATCAACATGCATTGCAATTACCACAGTACTTAGGGACTCGATGCTCCGATACTGTAGTCATAATTGTTTTATTATTCTTATCAAAATTGAAGGCGAATTCTGTACGGATAAAGTGATGAGTCTTGAAAGTTCACTATATTTTGGGGACATTAGAGACCTGATTATATTCGACCTTAAGTTAAATATCTTCAAACGTGCAAGGACATGTTACATTTTACAAAACAATGTAATGTCAAATACTGTTTGCTTAAATATCACACCCTCGCCATACATAGATTTTCGACATCGCCTCAAAAGTAAGAGCGCTTTCCATTTGTCAGAACTGGCTGGCCAGACCCAGAGAAAATATCATTATATATCATTCATATTTGGTTAGGAAATTCGAATTTTCAAATTCTATCCATTATTCTATAGAAAACCTCGAAGTGACTGAAAAATGTTGATAAAAAGCATTATATACCTCTAAATCTAGCGGACTGGCCGGCCAGTTCTGCCTAAATGGAAAGCACCCTAAGTTCCCATAGAGACAATCGGTCGTGAATTTTAGTTGTTTACGAGACCGAGATGGGTGATACTGATTAAAATGTACATTCTAAACGAGCAGCCAAAAATGCGATGGCAATGTCCGTCATGGTAACTATTATGGAAAGGTCAAAATTCAAAATGTAAGCAGTAAGTGTCTGACAAAACATTAAATTTATACACAGTTCATAATACACAATTTATTTACTAAATTCCAATTTCGACCAAACCAAAATGCTAAAGAATTTTACTTGCATAAATAATCATTCGCAGAAATGGTTTGAAAACTAAGAATAGCTTCAATTCTCACAGCCATCTAGACTTTTTTTACTTGACATTTAAACAATTACATGTATACCGAAAGTACGTTGTAAAGTGCAATAAAAACACTGTCAGATTTGAATTAAAAAGCGAAACATTAGGAAAATGTGACAGTGTGCTTCATGCAAAATCATTATGGATTCTTCCAGAAAACTTCACTCCGTATGCTTAGAAACAAACAATGTGCAAAAAAATATCTAAAGACGTCATACTATTAGCTTAAGAAAATTACATATAATCCACCAGTATACGTCTAATCTAATTAATATAAGTACAACGAATACTATACGCAATTGCAGTTCAGTCTGTACAAAATGTTCATTGCCGGCCACTACAACGCGAAGACTTCCATTTTCGAAATGAAAGTTTCTCAATTAAGAAGTACCGTTAACATAATTTTCTACTTATGTCCAGAATTAAAACAGAAAGGTACAAGGACAAAAGCTTCCATAATTTCATTATTGCCACAAGAACTAATTAGAATCTGAATCATAGTAGCCAAATGATTCTTCTTCTCTCTGACGACGAAGCCACCGTTGTTCTTTGTGAGCATTCGTGTCGAGGCGTTGTTTAACTTTTTTACAAACTCTGCACTTTTGATTACCTTTGCTTAGTTGATTCTTGCTGAATTCCTCTCGAGGAAAAATGCGTTTGCATCCGGTGCAGTGGATGCCCTGGTACGCACTTTCATCACAAGAGATGATATCGAGAGGGAGATAGGCATTCATTTCATAACGATCGAAACTTCTCTCGCTTTTAGCTCGATACATATCGGCATATCGCTCAGAGGCAACTCTCAGCTGAGCAAGCTCTTGGCTGGAACTCCCAATCACTTTGTAAAGCTTAAACAGCACCAAAGTATCAACTGCACAGTAACGAAGCAAGGATCCTGAAATGGGTCTTTTTTGCCAAACAGCCTTGTCTTTCATTACTTGGTTTGTGCCGCCTTCTTTGGTTTTTCGAGCCTCTTCATCGTCAAGGTACAGCTTAATACAACGATTTAGTCCGTATATATTCTCCACTTCGTTTAATCTCTGGCTGCGTCGTTGGTTGGCTCCTGAGGATGCTGAAGCCCCAAACTGTTCACGTCTCTTCAGTACTTCTTGAAGCTGAACGTCCAACACTCCATTCAACTTGACTCGATACTGATACCAAAGACTGTCTGAATCTTGCCTGCAATCAAACATCAACTTCGCTCTTGATTTGTCCTCCAGGATTTCACGAAGGCCCTCTGCAAACACTTCTTCCTTGAGCTTTATAACATCAAATATGAAAGCTCTCTCTTCAGTGGCCACTGTAACAATTGTCAGCTTTCCTTTCCTGCTCAGGTCGACGCCTTCACAATCCACGGCTAGGAGAGCGCTGGTGGGAGTGTTTTTCAATGTATTAATTGATTCATTGAGAGCGATGTTGTTGTCTACAAGCAGGTAGTTTGGTATTCTTCCACTAGCCATCTTTTTAGTTTTAGTAGTATTCAGCGGAACGTAAATAGCGAAAATGTCTAGAAAGCTTTTTTTTCTTGAAAACGGATACGAAAAAATCTCGCAAGAGATAATAGGAATATGGTTGTTACTTTTCGCAAAAGAAGAGGCCCACTTATTGGTCCATTGCAAGTGATGTAATAACACGTGATAGACTCGTCGACATATGACTTCAAAGAATCTCAATGCACAGGGAACCCAAGTGGAATTAAGTTAACCAAAATGTGCCCCTGACCTTCCTCCATACGTTCTCGCGCAATACAGGGATTATGTCATCGGATGAAGCTTAACTATTCTAACTACTCAAAACTGTCTAGCACATTGGCAGGACAGTGCTACACGTGACAACTGACGAAATTTGATAAAACAACAATATGGAATCCAAATTATTGACTTGAAAGGGTTTTCTGATTATAAACGAGTCAATGACTACAAAAAAAACTAGGATGCTTTGCATTGGGAATCTAATATTCTGGAATCCAATTTTCATGGAATCCGGAACCAATGAGCATGTAATTTAGAACCAAAGGAACGATTAGTGGCTCTTTCTCGATGTATCAACCACTGAATTCTCTATGTGTATCTATCTGTATCTATGGTACAT